GTTTATTACATGCATTCTGTATTTTATGGTTAATTTTATTTAATTTCAATGCCTTTTTTAAAGTGTATTGGGACCATGTCCATGTGATTTTGGACTTTAAATAAAACCTGACTTGACTTGACAATGATAATGTTAACATGATGATGTTTAACAGGTATAATTTTACCATGTTCACCATTTTAATTTAGCCTGTTAGTATGCTAACATTTGCTAATTACAACAAACTAACTACAGCTGAGGCTAATGGAAATGTAATTAGTTTTTCAGGTATTTGGGTATGAACCAAATTATTGGACAAAGGGAAATGTTGGCCTGATGATGGCGCTTGAGGAAAAGTCAGAGGACCACTAAATTTCATCCTCAATCTTGAGGGGGGAATCAGTATGTTTACCAAATCTTATGGCAATTAATCTAACAGCTGTTTCAGTTAAAACCACAAATGTCAACCTCAATGTGTCGCTAGAAAAAAAAAAGACAGGGGATTGCCAGGGTCAGTGGCATTCATCTTCTGGGGAACATGAATGTTTGTACAAACTTTCATGGCAATCCATCCAATTGTTGTAGAGATACTATGTCAGTCTGCACCAAAGTGATGAACTGACCGAACAACGAACAGACCAACATTGCCATATAGAGCCACAGCGCTCGTGTACTTATGCCAAGAGATGAATCCTTATTCAGTTACAAATTATTAGTATTTAGTTACAAAACATTTTGAGTTTCCTGTAGTTTTATGGGCCAATGTAGATTTTAGATCAAGTAAAATAATTGCATGATAGACTCTCTCTTGCCAATCAAATGTCCCCATACAAGATGACATGTACTAAATAAACAGGTAGCTTACACTAATTAGTTAGCAATTCAGAAGTAGAAATGATGATCCAGGAAATACAACATTTTACTTTGGTTCCTAGATCACTAGCATTTCATGTCCCTATCTATATAATATGCCAACAAGATCCAAAAAAGACATTTGGAGTATATAGCCAGGATTTTTGCCAGACTAGATATTCTACAGCAGGGGCGCCTCTTTTAATGCGATTTCAGTCTGGTTATAAATCGCCCAGATCTCTCTCATAGACTTTCATGTAAAGGCAGTTTTTTCCCGCTGCAATGCCATCTGTATGGGTTCCGGGAGGGCTCGCACTAACGTGTTTACGTCACGCGCCCAGCAGCTGAGTTACGCTTCTGCCACCTGAAAACGGCTCTGAGGTCCTCCAGCTTGTTTCTCTCACTACGACCAGCTGCTGTTTTAAAACGTATGTTCAGGCTGAAAATTCCACCGCGGTGTCGGGAGATGCAGCGACTTAAACACTATAATTAATACATGTAACGTTAGGCCTAATTTGTTAAACTATGAGGAGAGGAAAAGTCCGCTAGGTTAATTTATGCTTCGTAAAAGGCCATAGGCTAAGCTAATAATCTTGATAGTTATTATTAAGCCGACTCTTATGTTTATGTTAAATGTGATTGTTACTAAGCCATGTTTTATGTTTGGTGGTGGAGTAAATTTAAAGTTAGCTGCACTTAACCAGTAACGTTAACAATTATTTTATGTGTTGTTTTTTTCTTTTATTGCCATAAACTGAAGAAGAAAGAGGAGGTAGTATGATGTGGTAAATACAGAGTGAGAATGGGAGAACAGCACATAGCTCGTTGTTACTGTGCGATTATAGAGTACATACAGCCCACACCCCTAATAATACTGTATATCTACAGGATAACAAGTGGATTTTTTACTACTCTCTTCTTACCTTATTAGTCTTGTGTAATGTGTGTAACTTAAAGAATGAAAATAAATACTGTGCTCCTCTGTACCCCATTAAATATTTAAGATTACTTAAGTTTGATCCACCTTCATATACAGCACATGTGACATTATTACATTACTGTAGCCTGTTACTTGAGAAGAGTCCCTTACCAGTAACGCAAGATTAACTGTAAATAATTTTATTCATCACACATCATCAGCCCAGTGCCACTGCGCTTTATTCTGGATTTGTTGATCCTAAAGAAAAGGTTTGTCACTGCTAAATCAGATGATTGTGAGAGTCATTAATTTTTTCATTATTGTTGAAGTAGTTGCCTTTACATCCAAAGCAGGGGCGTAGGAGTGACTTTGAACCTGGGGGGACACTGAACTGCTAGGGGGGTTCGGGGGCATGCCCCCCCGATTCTAATTTTTTTTAAATAAAGCAATTAAATGCTCATTTCTAATGGCTTTTGAAAACAGAATGTACTTATTTGTGTGGCTGAAAGAGGGTCTTTGTAGTGACAGAAGATGGAGAAAAACTCGGAGAGGGAGAGGGTCAGAGAGACGGAGTACAATAACTAGAACCAAACTGACTACATGCCATTAAAACCATGGAAGAGCTGCTAGTTAATGTAGCCACAGTACAAATATATTTAGTTATCCTAACATTCCACTTGTGAGCTGTCTGTGATATTTCCTGTGTCTCACTTGGCCCTGACTCTCCCTGCAACAAATGTTTGTGAATCACTTCAGCTGAGCCCTTGAGTCGATAACTAAATAAGTCACATCATCATCAATCTAACCATAAACTGGTGCTTTGGACTGTGCTGGCTTTGACTCTGTTCTGCTCTTGCCCTCATCTCTGCTGTCTCATGTTCACCGCTGGGCAGTGGTGGATAGAGTACTCAAAATCTTTACTCAAAAAAGTACAATTACTCCCATTAAAAGTTAGAGGAAAAAATTACAAACCTACTCAAGTAAAAGTATAATAATATTTCATTTGCTGTTCATCAGGTTAGAAACAGCTGCAACATAGTTATTTCTAAGAAATGCAATTTGCTTTGCTGGTTGATTATCTTTAGCTATTTAGCTGTTTAAAACAAGTAAATCTCAATGAAGATGTTGATAAGATCACTTTAAAATATCATGCTTGCTGCCCAGCCACTATTGTTGCCTGTATCTTTTATTATGGACAAGTAGCCAACCAAACCACTTGCTTTGCAGTATCACAGGCAGCCAATACAATCTGATTATACCTGAAGCATCTAAATAATCTTCACAACGTAAAGAATTATTGTGGCAGCAACACGTAGCAGCTCTTTGTTGAAGCAGGTAAACCTGCATACAGAGGAAGCTGTGCGTCATGCGTAAAGCCCAACAGGACTGTTTTATCCACCCATATTTTCTCTCTCTCTCTCGGTGCATCTCAAAAATGATCGTTTGCTGAATAAATAACAGCTGGTAGCTGCTGTAAAACAAATAGTAGCCTGACCAATGTAAAAAAAAAAAAAGAAAGAAAGAAAGAAGTGATCATCTAACATATGTTACAGTGTGAAGTCTACGTTTGCAGAGAGTGAATACGCTTTTAATGGGTCGTTAATGGAAAGTGAAAGTATTGCTTGTGAAAGAGCGATGCAGGCTGCTTCCCAACACGGTCAGCATTGCCATGGTGTGCGCTCACTGGATTTAAGTTATATTATTAGAACAATAAAGCCTTAGAAAAAGGAGTTTGCCTGATTTTCTAAATGTTTGCGCCCAGCTCTGTGACTGACAAGCGCCCGAGACCAGGCACTCTTCTGCGTAACTGTGCGCACACAGACTGGATCATTTAGGTTAATGAAGCAAAATGCAGATTACAGACTGGTTAAGTTATTAAGGTATGAATGGAAAATGTAGAGAAATTAAGAGTAGATTTCTGGCCTAAAGAAAATACTGGAGTAAAGAGTAAAAGTACAGTTTTAAAAAAGGAACGTCAACAGGTGCCAATTACTCTTTTAAAATGTATTTATTTAGCAAATGTGCGTTATTTGTAACAAGTTACTACCCACCCTGCAGCAGGAGTCCTCACTGCTGTCTTCAGGTAGGCTATAAGTAACAGCAGCACAAAAGAAACTAGCCTATTGAGGCACTTTGCTGCACACTTTTTTCTCCCTTAACTTTTCAGCACCACCTTTGCCTTGTGTCACATGTTTTCTATAGGCGAACATGATTTTTGTCATTGTTTCAACCAATGAATCATGTCTGATGCGGTGTGTGATTGATTGATTGATTGATTGATTGACTATTCATTCACACCGCCTCCACTATGAGCCAACTCCGAAATCGCAGGAAAAAAGTGAGGGGGACAAAACAGATTTTGAAATGTGGGGGGGACATGTCCCCCTCATGTATAATGGCTCCTACACATATGATCCAAAGGTCTAAAGATCTGTTGATCTTAACTGTGGACTGTTCATTCATTGTAGACATTGACAATGAACTTCAGGATGTAGCTGTTCACAAATACTGTACAGTATGTAGCCTAAGGAACAATCCTTGTCTTATAGCAGACTTAGACCATTGAACTGGTCACCTTAGCCATCATAGCAACAATTGCCCCCCCTGAGAGATTTGGCAGGAGTCGCCACTGCTGTACAGTGTGTTACTGTTGGAGGGATGGCACACTTTGGTGTTTCTATTTTGCGTTATGTTTTCTATTGATTTGTTTTCTGAAAGGTAGAGGTTTTCAAATCATGACCACCGTATCAAATCATCAGAATGATGAAATGTGTTGTGGTTTCATCTGAGAAACTGATGTCTGTGGTTATAAAGTTTAAACCTCATGTGTTGCACGATCACTTCTGCACCTCTGTGTCTGTGTACATGTTTCACACGAGATGTATCACAGTAGTCGGGGGTCTTGCTTTCATTTCCTTTTTTAAGAGAAGTCTTAACCACTATTGCACAAAGTGTTTTCTCAACTCTAGTCTGATCACATACTTGCAAGTGAGACATCTTTCAATACACAGGTCTTCGCCAGGAAGACTTTACTCTGTTTTCTGTGTTAAGTGCAACTGCTGTCACTACCTAACTTTTAAAATAACTCTGTTTTATCTGTTAGAAATTACAATAACTCTGTTTTATCTGTTACAAATGTCAAGTAAAACCAGATTAGTCTGATAAAGAGGGAGCCAGAAAACAATCAACTTTAATCTGACAGGCAGTAGGCGAGAATAAAGCCCCCAGACTCAGTTTAACTTCCACATTTATCAGTGTTTATTGGGTTACATATCTCAGGAGCTGAGACAAGGGGGATAACATACATGAAACCAAAGATCAGAGAAATTACATAAATAAATAATTAAATGGTAATTAGTCGCATGTGCACAGTATTTGATTTCGTAGTGAGCAAAGTGATAGCTTCAACAACAATGAAAAATTGCATGAAAACATTCTCCTGAGCCTAAACACAAAGTCTAGCTTCTTTTCATGGAACCCTAGAATTTGTTTTAAAATCCTGTTCAGTATCTAAGGTGTATACAAGGCTTTCACATCAGAGGAAAAAGGCAGCTTGAAGTCAGGTTAAAGTCAAGAGATGATCAAGTTTTTCCTGTGCTGGCACCTGGACTTTAGAGCTGTCCACCGGTTAGTATTTGTTCTACTGGCACTGTCTCAGCTTTTAAATCATGCCTTAAAACACATTTTTATAGACTTGCCTTCTTGTCTGACAACTAGACGTATTTGTTTGCGTAATAGAGCTATGTCATCTTACCACCGGATGTTATGTTGTTTTTCTAGTCTTGTTGGTGTGTGATAAGAGGATAACTTTGTGTCTGTTATTTGAGGTATTTTCTTTTCTATTTTCACATGAATGCCCTGTTATCCATACCTCAACCATCAAAAAGTAAAACATTCTTAATGTGTTATTTTGCCCTACAAGAAACTGATATTCGTGGTGCATGAAGTATTTTAGGGTGATACGTTTGTATATGGTAATCGTACTTTGCTTTGTATTTGTGGTTAGTTCAGGGCAGAGATCAGGAAATGTGCATTCTCTACACTATCACTCTACCAAGAAAGTGAGCCGCAAGTTTTACATAGATCTGACCAGACCCCAACAACAGTCACTGTCTATGATTAGTGATGTTGATAATTACATGTCCCAGATGTGAAGGCACTGGTCCGCTCCAGCAGAGAAAATTTGAGTACTGTCGGGGTTTAGGGCCAAGTGTAGGATTCGATGAGAATGACCTGAAAAAACAACAACATGTCTGAATTTTGACTTTTAAATACCTTCTTTCCCACATAAAACAGAGGCATCTCAGTGTATATTTTCACCACTATAAATGCATATATCAATGCATACGCCTCACATTCATTACAGTAAATAATGAAGAAATACAAAAAGTTCAGGACATTACAAATGAAAAAGGAGTCTCAAAGAGTCTAGCTTCATATTTCTTCGTTTGATGTGAAAAGCAAAAGCACTTCTTCTGGCAACCACAACCAGATACCAGATATGCCCCCCCACCTCCCACTTTACCGAAATAGAAAACAGCCAAGATGAACACAATGACTGAATAATGGCAATTCCTCCTGATTGTCTGGCTCTATATCATCACTAGAGTAACTGCAATTTGTGAGTAAATGAATAACACAAATGAAATGAGAATTTAGAGTCATAAATGTCTAGTCTTTCTTTCTTCTGCGATTCACAATACCTCAGGAAACTGTGACATCTCACATCAAACGTAATGACTTTTGATGGGTTCAATTTCATAGTTTTGTACTCACTGGAAGCCCAGGACCCGAATGAGTCAGCACAAAATGCTAATTAAACATCTGAACAATGGATGACAGGTCCAACCGTCACATTGACACCACTTTATTATTATTAGTCAGCATGTATAATGATGCAATACGTTTATTCCTTTGAGGCTATTGTGAATGTGTAAAACAGAAATATTTGGCTGTGGTTGTGTGTCAGTTTCTCTAACCTGTAAGCTGGTAGATGGGGCTCAGGGAGGGAAACTCCCAGGTCCAGCAGGTGACTTGGTGATGTGGAAGGCCATGACCTGTGACCAGATATCGTCTCTCTTTAGCCCATCGAAGGGAACATATCTGCAATTGGAGTCATTTGGAGTAGTCTGTTCGATATTTATACACAATTTTAAAAAATCCCTCCGCTCTACTTTGATGAATTTGAAGTATATGTACACTCATATAAGAGATAAACTTTCATAAACACCTGTGAATTTGTGTCAGCAGAAGTCACACAAGTCCCCGGCTCTGTGTCCCAGATTCTCAGCTCTCCATCTTTCCATCCCCCTCCTGTAGCAATCATCTTTCTCTGCCATGGACACCATGCCATCGCCTAAACACGCAAACACAATGAATGCACACACAATGGTCAGCAGGTTGTCCAGTTTTTAAAGTAGACCTCCCAGTGAATAGCTGCAGGATCAACTGACAGTATTTTCTTTTAAACATCTGTATAACAACAGCTAAACCCTTATCAACCAGTATCATGCCACTCAAGTTTGCACAAGACAAGATTAATAATCACCATCATCATGTCATACAACAGAATGCGCAGCTGCTTGCAATTATGTGGTTACGGTTGTGTCAGTCCTCCAAAAAAAACTTGAAAATAGATCTCAGCAAAGTGATCAGTTGATTACAAATATAGAATACCAAGCACATGCAGCAGTGTTTAAATTTCCCTAGAAAGTCCCAATCACGAAGCAGAAGCTGACCTTAACGGTGCTGGGCTGTTTCATTGTAGTGATTGGCTTGCGTGACCTTGTGGGCCCTGCGACATCACTATCCCATATACAGAGATGGCCCCCTGTGGAGCCGCTGGCCAGCCAGTCATCTCCTGGTGACCACTGAAGGCTGCAGATCCCCTCCTCATGGACGGCTGCGCCCACCAGAGGTGTGGGAACACGAGTGTCAAGGTGGTGGATATGCCCGAGAACACAGCCGCTGTAAGAGAGATGAATACGGCATGCTTCATATTGATACTAACTGTGATGCCCTTTTTATACAGGTTACAATTCCTTTTGCTATTGCATTAAACCAGTATAAATTTGGAAGTGGATGAAAACCAAATGGTTTCCTGTGTCAGTCCTGCTAGTATAGAGTTAAGAAGAAAGTAAATAACTTTATTTTTATAGCACCTATCAAAAGCAAAACCTCACAAAGCTTCACAAAATAAATAAAGCAACCAACATAAATTATTGACATACTACACTTAGGAAGAATAAAACACCATAAAATAGAAATTATTTCAAATGAGAGTAAGTAGGATTTAGAAAATGACACAGGGTCCACAGTGTCCAGAGCTCTATAAGTGATCACAAATACCTTCAGCTGGATTTTTGTAAACAATCCAGAGCTGCTTTGCTGAGGCAGGTGAAGGGGGAGTTACAATAGTTGACATGGGATGAGACAGATGTGTAAGAATGACACTGAACGTTTTTATTACCTTCATGTCGTGTTTAGTATACTGACCACACATACCTGCTGAGTAACTGCTGTTTCCAAGAAAGAGCTCTGACCACAGACAGGTGTGATGGCAGACACCTCACATTTTTCTCGTGGTCAACATCCCACAACTAAAGAGTCAAAGAGAGAGACAGAGTCACCACAAACTGCCACAAACTGCTGATTCATCTAGGTGTTACACATCCCCTTGCGCAGGACCCCCATAGCACAGTTTGTATGAATCACTTTCCACCATCAATGCGCTCATTTACTTTAAGCTCCAGAGCATTTACCTGTATCTCCCCCGACCTGGTCCCAATGCAGAGAGCTCTCCCATCTCTGCTCCAGCACAGAAATGAGACGGATGGAGTCTGACAGTATAGCCCTCCTGGTTGTGGACTTGGACTCAGATATCCCACTGGAGCACGACTTTCTGAATTCCAAATGTAAACAGAAGAGCCCAGTGCTAATGCGATCATACCATTACAACTGCAGTCGAGAAGATTAGTGTCTGAAGGGGAGGAGATGGAAAAAAGAGAAGGACTACAGAGGCTACAAACGGAACACATTGGTGGTCACATATGATGTTCGGTGATGTGTTCATTAATCGTTAAACATTTTTATCTGATTATTTAAACAGTGTCCTTATGAAGGTCAGAAAAAGAGAGAGTAGGATCTTCTGACTGACTCTTTAAAACTTAGGTACAGGGCCGTTAGGAGTTCCCCCAACACACACCCCACCACCATCAAATAATTTTGACCAGAAACCAAAGGTCTGGATTTGTCATATTTTGTTTAGTCATTGCTTAAACTGAAATGTATTCATTGTTAAATTACCATGATACTCAAAATCCTGTTTTAAAGCCTTCTCCACTCCTGCCAATATACAGTAATTCTGGGGAACAAATGCTGATGACTTTATTCTGTATTATTTTGTTGGCCTAAAAATTGTGAAATTGAGACACATTATATTTCATAAGCTCATAAAATACCATATATCGATGTATATATAGTTTGAATTGTTGAATTTAAACATTACCCAAGTTGCTCAGTATCGTCAGTGGTACGTGGGTGACCACTTGTGATTCTCGGATGGAGTTGGTGAGTCAATGCGAGGCGTGTAGGCTATATGTATTGGAATAAACCTATACTCACTTGGTCCTACACTGGAAAAGTGTGTGTTGCTGATTAAGTGTTTTTTTGTACTGCAATAAGAAAGATATGCAGACACAGGGGGTGCATGGAAAAGTATCATCTGAAAATGAGTATGTGTAGATATCTCTCTCTCTCTCTCTCTCTCTCTATACATATATATATATATATATGTGTGTGTGTGTGTGTGTGTGTGTGTATATATATATATGTATATGTGTGTGTATATATATGTGTGTATATATATTTATATGTGTGTGTGTGTGTGTGTGTGTGTGTGTGTTTGTTGTGAAGTTTTCTTCTGTGGGAGTATTGCAGGATTTGTATCTTCACTTACAGTAGTCGTTCAGCAGTGACGGTGCCGCCAGCTTCATCAGTGGCTTTCCTGGCAGACCCACAGAAGCTTTGTCCAGAGCAGCAAATGGATGTAAGTCATGTCCTCTGCCATCAGAACCTGCAATGGAAAAATATCATGTAAAATCACAGTTACACAAAACACATCTTTGGTTTACTATTGATGATGTCAATTGTGTTCATTTTTTACTCACTGAAACTCAAATGAAATCAACTCAAATGAAAATTGTAGAAATACAATAAATGTGTGTTAGTTAATGTGTTTTGGAAAAAGAGTTGTCCTTGGTTACGGAGACTTAAACAATGATTTCCATCACACTTTCATATCTAATGCCGTATTCTTTGTGTTAAACCTCCAGAAGCTTTACAGGATTAATGCCTGCTTTTCCCATTAGAGATTTCCATTTCCATTTACTCATTTGGAAGACACTTTAATCCAAAGCAATTTACATTTGAGAAACAATACATACTAGTAAGCGCAGCAATAAATACTTGTGCGAGCCAATAGCACGTATGGCATCAATGGGGTAAATATAGAAAAAAAGGTGCAATCAATACAAGAGAATTGTAGGGAGATAGAAGAAGCAGAGCACAGGACATGCATGTTAGAGGTTAGGGGTTAGAGATGTTATAAGAAAAAGTGTTCTTTGAAGTGGTGAGTTTTCAGAGCTTCTTGAAGTTAGAGACAGACACCCCTGCTCTGATGGCATGTGGTAGCTTGTTCCACCATCGTGGACGGCACGTTCGTTGGAGGAGCGCAGTGGCTGAGAAGGAACGTAAGCTTGTATGATGAAGTTTAGGTAGATGGGTGCAGACCCTGTGTTCACTCTGTATGCAAGCAATAGTGACTTGAATTTGATTCGGGAGGCCATTGGGTTTATCAAAAACCAGATGCGCTGCTACGTTCTGATCCACTTGTAGGTTTTTCACTGCACTAGTTGGAAGACCCACTAGGAGGGCATTGCAGTAGTCGAGGTGAGAGATAACCATGGCCTGTACCAGAAGCTGGGTGGCGTACTGAGTAAGGTAGGTCGTGATTTTTCTTATATTGTATAGAGCAAAGTGGCACGACCGAGAGCAGCAGCAACATGGTCTGAAAAGGACATTTGGTCATCAATCATGACCACCAAGTTTTTCACCACCCTGGTTGGAGTGATGGTTGAGGAGCCAATTTGTAGTTTGATCTTATGGTGGATAGATTGCATGGCTGAAATGACCAAGAGTTCAGTCTTAGAGAGGTTTAACTGAAGGTGGCAAGCCTCCATCCAAAAAGACATGTCCGTGATCCGTGCCAAGGAGGTGGGGTCGTCTGGCTGGAAGGATAGGTAAAGTTGCATGTCATCTGCATGGCAGTGGTAAGAGAAGCCATGCAAGGGAATGATCAGCCCCAGTGAGTTGGTGTAAATTGAGAGAAGAGGCCCTAGCACTGAGCCTTGGGGCACTCCCTGTGGAGAGGCAGTGAGAGGAGGACAACTGTCTTTGCCACGACACATTGTAGGAATGCCCAGAGAGGTAGGATTCAAACCACAGGAGTGCTTTGCCCGAGAAGCTCATTGCTGTGTGTGTGGACAGCAGGATCCTGTGATTGACTGTGTCAAAGGCAGCTGATAGGTCAAGCAGGATAAGAACCGAGGACTGGGCTGCAGCTCTAGCTGACTTTAGGGCTTCTGTCACAGAGAGCAGAGCCATTTCAGGAGAGTGGACGCTCATAAAACCAGACTGATATTCCACGAGAAGAATTCTGAGACTTGTCTGAAGACTGCCCGTTCAATAGCTTTGGATAGAAATGGTAGATGTGATACTGGCGAATAGCAGGGTTGAGGGAGGGTTTTTTGAGAAGGGGTGTAACCCAAGCCCTTTTGAAAGTAGTTGGGAAGGTTCCCGGAGACAGAGAAAGTATTTATCACATGAGATAATGTCATCAGCAAACACAACATTAACATAGACCTTTCTCAGTCCTCCAGTAGTTTCTGTTACTTTACGATTCCTGGTGTGATATCATGCAGTATCACTACATGTCATTCAGATAATTCTTCATGTAGCAAAAGAAAAAAACATTTATGCAGTACCAGACTGTGGGGCATTTCCATGTTCTTGGACTCCAGCTCTCCACACCCATCCCTGCAAAAAGTAAAGGACTATTTATAGATTCAGTGTTTTACATGAATATTGATTTCATCAAGAGCATTAGAAGTGATTTTGCCACGTTTTTCAGGCCAAGTTTGTCCATTATTTTATGTATTTTGAAGTATAATGACGCTAACCTCCTTTAGTAATAACTGCGTTATCCTTATTTTAGCTGTGAGGATACAACTGGGTTATAAGATAAGATACGACACTTTGCCATTGTAGGTACACATTGAACTTACGTTTGGTAACTCTCAAAGACCAGTAGCAATAGAAAACAAGATAAATAAACAAAATAAATATGATGGGGTAGCATCCCCCATCTATACTTAATAAATGGAATGGAATTAACTTGGTAAAATTTAATTTTACCAAATTTACAACATTGCTCAACAATGAGGGGTAATGGAGGTTCCAGCTCTGGGGAAGAAGCTGTTCCTCAGTCTTTTAGATTGGACTTTGATTGCTCTATATCTTTTCCACTATAGCAAGGGACAAACAGACTGTGACCTGGGTGGGTTGGGTCCTTACTAATGTTTTCCTGTGTAGATGGCTAGCACACACTATGTCCAAGTTTGGGAGCACAGTGCCCATCAATCTTTTGTGTTGTTTGGTTATTACGTTTTTGACCTTAAGTAATCTCACAGCTTTTTAATATTTCACCTCAAGTATCTTGTATAAAGAAGTACAGGTGGTACAGGAAAGACACAAACAAATGGATTTTTTACAGTACCACAGATGCAGGTTCCTTAAACAAACCTGTTCTGGGGCATTTTCTGTTGCATGGCTTCCCCTGGCAGAAATGGTGCATGGTGATGTAGCAGCTCCACAGTGGGAAACACCTCCTGCCAATGCTGTCTCTAATTGGGACAGGCACAGAAAACATTACAGCACATTCACCTTGAATCACAAGACTGTGCTGCAATGCTGCATCACATAGTGACACAGCTGAACATAATGGTGAAGATAACTAAGAATGGATGTGGGTTTGGAGCTGTAGCCCTACAAGGAACTGTTACTCGTTTAGGATTGGAGTATTTAATAAGTATTGTATTTGAACAACAAAACCAAAATACATTTGTAGTTTGCTTCTGTAACTGTTGTAACTGCTTTTTCATCTTGACTGATACTGGATTTTGGAGCCAATGCTGATACCGTTACAGGAGATTGTACAAATTTCAGCCTATGTTCATTTTATCCACTGAAAAGGCATATATATGTATGTTTAGTACTCAGCCCTAAAATGTGGTAATATAAAAGTTATGACCATGATATATATTGGAAGCATGGTATTTTACAGTTGAAACACAAATATGTTCTTCTGCAGCACCATCTGCTCAGTTTCTATATGCAATACTGACAACTTAGGTGTTGTCCACAGTTGAAGCTAACATCTGAAGCATGTTGCAGGACACACAATTTATTGACACATACATTACCTAAATATTTACCTAGGTAAATAGCTAATTTATTTCAATGAATTGATTACAATCCGTCTTAAAAAAAATTGCATGTAAGCCTGAATTAAAAGTATGCTATACATTTTTGTTCTTCTTCCCTATACTTATATAGTTATTTCCACATTCTTCTCTGATGTGGTGTGTTGTTAAAATAATACCTTGACGGTTTCCGTGTAGGTCTCTCTCTTCTGGTTCATGGTGTCTCGATGGAGAATCCAGCTCTAGTCTCTGACAGACTGCATCAAACTCAAAGCCTGGCTCACACTGCCGCCCAGTGACCAGCGGTGTACTCGCAGCAGGACCCTCACTGCTGCTCCTCTGAGTGATCCGCCTCCTGAACCGCTTGTACGGTGTGTGGTGGGCGTCGTTTAGACCCTGAGAAAACAATAATAATAATAGTAATAATTTTTACAAAAAATACTGAAAACCGACACAAACGTAATTTCTCTACAAATTTAAAACACACTTCACTAGTGTCAAGTAGGCAACATTTAAAGAGCTTAACTTCCTGTTAAAACTTTCAAAGCAAAAGCATTGTAATGGCCTTGGGGGGGCTACATTACAATAAATGTATGTAAAAAGTAATTTTACACTGTAGTATTGCTACTGTTAAGATAAATATCAAGATTTAAGGTGCAAGACTCCGGTAAGATGAGAGACTCTGTGTTTTACATCGATGATGCTTGGTGCTCAAACACAGTCAAGATGGACACTATTTCCCAAATGTCAGGTTTTATAGTGAAGATGAAACCATATTATCATATATTTTTGCTGCTACTTACATTCTCCCAGACAAAAACTATAAAAATGCTCTGCAGAATATCTGTGGTGTCTATACATGTATGTATATATGAATATAAATAACTGTATATATTGATTTATTTTATTTTATATGGTAGTATATTTTACAGTTTCTCTTAATTGCTTAAACACTATAACCAGGCTATTAAACTAAAATTTTAAAACCATAACTGCATTTTTCAAATAGCATACCCATTTCTCTAAACTCTACACTCAAATCCCTTCATTTCTCATTGCCAACACCATGTGATCATTGAGAAATCATTAACATTCAATATTGCTCAGTCAGCATAGGTTGAACTCAATTAGCACACACCTACCCAGGTGGAAACACAAACAGTCAAAATTGATAACACACCAATCAGAACCTTCAATAAATAGCCTAGATAAAAGGGCCAGAGTCAGTTCATTCAGTTTTGGAACAATGGATCCAGAGAAATCTGAAGGAAGAGGTAGAGGACACCATAGAGGAGGAGGAGGAGGAAGAGGAACAGTAGAAGTTGGAGGAGGAGATGGGATAGGAGGAAGATGAGGAGTAGTAGGAGGTGGAGGACGAGAATCTCTGTCCTGTCCCAGACCAAAGACGTGACGCTGGGGCAGAATAATTTGTTGTTTGGCGTGTTGTACTGTATAGTACACTAAGGAATAAAAAATGCAATGTTGCAAATGCAAATGTTTACATTTGTTATTCCTTTTGCTTTGTTGATCATGTGAAAAGGTTTTTGAGGGGGAGAACCTCCAGCAACATTACTAATAACCAATTTTTGTAGTTTTGTTTTGAATTTATCTCACCAGTGTGTAAAAATGTGTTGTAGTGTGTGTGGTTTTGTGTTATGTCTGAGGGCAAAGTTTGGTTTAATTAAACACCCTATACATACACATATATAGACAAAGCAGACAAATATCTGCGTACGTCTTCCACCACTGCAGTGATTCGTGAAGTGGTTGCTAAGTAGGTCGCAAGGTCATTTGTGTTTGCTGAGTTGTCTCTTAAGTGTTTGGGATTGTTTCTAGGTGGTAGCTAGTGCTATGGGTTTGCCAGGCTGTTTTGGTTGGTTGCTATGATGTTCATGGCTACCAGAAATAGGAACACATATTTGTGGACAATCACCAATAGTGACAAATTGCAAAAAAATAAAAAATAAAGATTTGTTAACAATTCTAATTAATACTAGATTGATCCAGCAGAACAATTTTGTGTTAAAAGTTTATGCTGATTAATACACAGTTAATTTCAGAAATTATATCCATCCATCGCCAACCGCTTTTCCTGCGTGCAGGGTCGCAGGGGGCTGGAGCCAGTCCCAGCTGATATCCGGCGAAAGGAGGGGTACACCCTGGACAGGTCGCCAGTCCATCGCAGGGCCACACACAGAAAGGCCGGGGCAACCGGGGTTTGAACCAAAAACCTGGTGGGCTAACACCAGTGGTTCTCGAAGTGGGGTCCAGGGACCCCCAGGGGTCACTGAGGGTTACGAGGAGTTCCCAGCAAAAGGAGAATAACTGATTTTAACAATTCCATCCATTTACAAAGACAGAACTATGACAATTTTGGTCATGGGTTTCACAGACTTTCTGTAGCCTGATGTTTCTGTAAACAGCTAAAAACAAAAATCCTACTGTTTGAGAACAGCTGGGCTTCACAATAGAAAGGCTCCATGGCTTTTGTTTTTGTCCTCTTATTTTGAAGGGACTAGTGCCTAGCTTCCGGCATTGTCAGACTGTACTCAGCTCCAAGACTTTCGGCAGGAGGAGCCCCCCCACCCCTCTCTCCGACTGCGGCTCGTTCTTCCCCCTCCAAGATGGAGGCCTTAGGGGGCTACCCTGCCAAGTCCTCCAACCCAAAAGCAAAAAGGTTAACGCTACTGTTGAGCATGACAGTCGGTGTGGGCTGTTTATTCCTCCTGCAGACGCAACTGGTGAAGCTGAGAAAACCAAAGGATTTTTATTCTTTCGAGGTCAAAGACGCGAAAGGGAGGACGGTTTCCCTGGAGAAGTACCGAGGAAAAGTAAGTCCACATCATCACCAGACATTTCACTTTGAGAGGAAATCTGTGCAAACTTCGTCCAAGTTATCAAGAGTCCTTTGAGGGCTGGGTTTCAATGCATAACATTACTTTTTTATGTGATTTCTTGTAACATAATTACACCCTGTTCACCCTCCTCCTAAGGCGTCTTTGGTTGTAAACGTGGCGAGTCACAGCGAGCAGACGGAGGCGAACTACATGTTTCTGCAGGAGCTCCACCGCGAGCTGGGCACTTCTCACTTCAACGTCCTGGCCTTCCCGTGCGGTCAGTTCGGGGACACAGAGACCGGGACCAGCCGGGACATCGAGGCTTTCGCCAAGTCCACCTACGGGGTCACCTTCCACTTCTTCAGCAGGATCAAAATAATGGGCTCAGAGGCTGACCCAGCCTTCAAATTCCTCACAGGTAGGCAGAAAGACACCTCACCACATCTGTCTGCTGGACACTTAATATTTTAAAGAAAGACAACACTGCACAGATATTTGGAGGGACACTACACCATCGCTATGATTAAAGGCTATATTTGCAATTTGTTCAAGTAAAAACGATTATTCTTGTATTTTTATGGCTACACTTTATGGCCAGGAAGTACAGGCTGAACTTTCACTGCATCACACTTTCCCATGGGGCTGCAGCTAAATGTTATTTTTAAGATCAAGTGATCTGTCAAATTTATATTTTTCATCACACCCCTAGGCTGTTTATGTTTTAAAAGAAAGATTAAAAAAGTCTTAACTGATAGATTAAACCACATTTTAAATGCGGATTCGGAGTATTGATGCCTGCAAGTAATGCAACACAAATATTGGTGCATATTGGTGCTGCTATTCTTTATTCTGTTGGTTGTTCAACAGTTATTTCAGCATCTGTGGTAGACCCTATTTTTTATTTTTTTATAAATTCACAATGAAAGTTTGCACGTTTGATATTTTACATCTATTTTACTAAGTTTGTTTTTTTCTTTACTAACGTCTTCCCTCCAGAAATAACTCATGTCTCACACAAAATTTGTAATTGTGCTTCCTCCGTAAAAACAAATCTGTAAACCCATAGTTATGTTGGTAAAGGTGTTGACTTGTGATTTTGTGTGTAGCTCTTGCACCCAAATAGAGTTTAAATTGAGGTTAATAGGTGTGACATCTCATTTTAGCACCTTACAGCTCTGCTAAAATAACAACCAACATTATTGGATAATGAAGCAGCTGCAGATTGTACATCCCAGTGACTTCAGAAATGTAAACATTTTCTCTGCAGTAGTATATTCAGTAGTAATATTCAGTGTGTGAATGTTATCAGATATGTCGGCGATACATACCATCAGATCATATAAATGTGTCACCTGTCTGAAATTTTGTGATGAGGGAACTTGATTTCTCCCTGTATTAAATTTGCTGTATCAGCCATACACATCTGGTTATTTAATCCAGTTTCCCAATTGCTTTTCAGTGAAATCTACTATATCTCGATTGATACCTATTTTATCTATCACCCACTCCTATTGGATAGTAGTAAAAAGCCATATCTTTAACTGCTATGAGGTTGGGGTTTGATTTTATCTGATATAAATCAGTCAGTGGTGGAAGAAGTATTCAGATCCTTTACTTAAGTAAAAGTACTAACACCACACTGTGAAAATACTCCACTACAAATAAAAATCATGCATTCAAAACCTTACTTAAGTAAAAGTATGAAGTATTATGTACAAAATGTTTTACAGTGTTTTACTATTACATATGATGTATCTGGATTAATATTACTGCTGCTTTAATGTGTCTGTTGCATTTTAGTGCTTTTCAGTTCAAGGTTGAACTCATTTGAACTAATTTTTGTACTGTTGGGCAGTTTAATCTACAGCAAGGCATCATTTTCTATGAGATCGTGGTATGTTTGTAGCGTCGCTGTCCTGTGAGAACTGCACCGCAGTTTTCATGAGCTCAGAAAAACAGCCCTGTTTGCAGCTTTGTGTCCTTTCTGGGTTGAGAAATCACAGCCCATGAAGGAAAACTTAATACTTCATTAAAAAGTATAATATTTGCCTCAGAGATGTTGTGGAATAGAAGGATATAGTTCCATAAAACTGTATTTCTCAAAGCATGGGTATCTCAAATTCGTACTTAAGTGCAGTGCTTGGGTAAATGTGCTTAGTTGCATTCCACCACTGATGATCAATATTAAGCATAAGTTCATTAAAGCTCTGGACATGAGAACCTGTAGAGCATCATCAGCGTTTGTGGCTAAATCTAGATTGCGGTCATGTGTTTCAGATTCTGTGCAGAAAATGCCAAAGTGGAACTTCTGGAAGTTTCTGGTTAATCCTGAGGGGAAAGTGGTCCGGTACTGGCGAATGGACGAGCCCATGGAGAGCATTCGAGAAGAGGCCACGGCGTTGGTGCGAGAAATCATCCTGAAGAAGCGGGTGGAGCTTTGATGGAGCTTATCAAGAGACAATGGACACACCTCTGTGCGTTATGTTGGTGTTTCCTGTGCTTTGATAGCAAAGGAAGGACTGAGCGGTGTGTGTGGTCACCATGTGTGTGGTTGGGCGATGTCTCGCTCCAGAAACCTGCAGGGTGAAAAGATCCACTAGCTTTAGGCGATGGAAGTCTTTGTGTTTGTGTATGTGGGGACCATCCTGTGATTAATAATGACAGTCATGATGAACAGTCCTTATAATGACCACTTCTGTAGCAGAAGGATTGTTTAGCCATTGAAATGTTGGATTTGTGTCTGTGCTTTGAACTATCCGTTTCTAATGTTTACATTAAATCTATTTCATAAGGTGATCATTTTGGCCCATTCTGGACTGATTTGAGCTCAGCAAATTGTGAAACATCCATCTGACAATAAAACAATTTCATATTTATTTGATTTAAGATCTGTTGTTCACGATACACTTAGCTCATGAGATGAGCTAAACATGATGAGCTCATGAGATGAGCTAAGTGTGGGTTCACAAGAACAAGACGATATTTTAACACTATTTTGAAGAAATTTTCAGTGATGAAATATATGACTGGAAAAATAGTCTTTGCAAAAAAGCAGGTGCATTTTGACGTGTTGCTTACATATTATTCTGTCACTCTGTTGGCGTTTAATGTTTCCACCCTGTATTTCCACTGGGTAGTGCCGCCACACAAACGATTTAAAAGTGATGGGAGCATCTTCTGTGCTAGGTTCACTCTCACAATTCATGCTGAGATCGTACTATTGCCAGATCTCGTCACACCACTAGTTCAGGCTATTTATGTTTTAAAAGCAAGTGAGAAAAGACTTAACTGATAAATGAGTCCACATTTTGAATGCAGAAAAAGCTTCTTTTATAAAATGCACAACAGCTGAACTTGTGAAACCCAGCCTGCTGTTCTTAATTGCAAGAAGTAGCCTACATGTTAATTGCAGAAGTACCCTGGAGCGCTGGTGTGGATTTAAGTGGACAGTTGGAGGGCAGCAGCAGGTAAGCTGGCACACACAGAATCAACCAGCTAACAAGACACTGCCTAACAACCACCCACAATAAGACAGCTGAAAACCAACGTTGCCTTAAAAATTATGTCAGGCGACAATAACATCAAGACGGAAAATAAATTGGACAGCCTCTACTTCACTATAAACCTCCTTCCCTCCTGTGTAAACTTTCTGAACATCTCAAAGTCCCGTAGGGTGCCTGTAACTCTTGATCCGAATGAGTAATAAATGAGTAAGCATAGTCAAATATAACTGTTAAGGTAGCAGAGCAGTGTGAGCTGGGTAAAAGAAACGTCAGCTAACATTACACTGCCTCCCAGCCAGTCACAACTCACTGGCCTGCCATAGATGCAAATGCACGGGTTTGACTGTGTTGAACTGATGTTGAGCTGAATGATTGTCATTGTACTGAATGTAGAGTTTATTGTTTCGATTGCAGCTTTATTCCACCGTTGGCTTATTATCTTACAGGTGAAGTGGCAGCATCAGCAGGAGGTTTGAGGTGGCAGCAGTGAGGAGTGCAGCTGACAGCTGTCACTCGGATAGCACAGCCAGCAGCAGTACACTGCCACACTGTCACCACCCGCTCAGATGCTGGAGGGGAGGACACAGCCAGCACAGTTAACCTTAAAGTGTACTTCCCCTCTTACCTGGAAGGGGCGGTGTCTTCTCATTCCTACAAAATCTCTCAGCATTCTCCTCATATTGTCCTGGGGATGAAAACAAAAACACTTCAGTCAAGGTGATGCTCATTATCATGAAAACCAACTTGCCATTAGGCTAAATAACATTTTTTTCCTTCAAATAATTATTTGGGATTGTTTTATTAATGTTATAATGCGTAGTATTGATATTGAAAAATAAGTCAACATATGTTGCCACAGGTTGCAGTGAGTGTTAGACCAAACAGACACCGACATGTGTTCAGAGTTTGAAGTGGTTGCCCTGGTAGCAGCAACAACAGATCATAAGTGATGTAAGGAAATAACCTATAAGGTTTTTTTTTTTTTTTTTAAATATTAGCCTATTTTATGAATTACTCACCCAGCCATTTGAATCTCCACTTTTCAGGCATCTTCAGTTTCTATTACATATCTAAAACACCATTCCGGTCCCTCTTAGCCTGTTGTAGGACCCGATCGTGCCCGGTGCACCTATCGTCTGCTCTCCTGGACGGGCTCAGCTCCTAAATACCCTCCCCGGGCGGACGGCGGAGCGGGAAGCACCGGCCTATGCTCTGCTATTGGCCGTTGGAGCCCCCCCCCCCCCCCCCCGACCACTCCTCTTATGGGATTCCCTCCGCGTCTTGGTTTCTATTGGAAACAAATAGACACAGTAAAAAAGAGCAACGCGCAATGTTGTAAAGGTGGAGACGGCAGCATGTTAAAAGTTAATAGTCTAATTCAGACGTGGAGAACTTTCATTTCTTCAGGAGATGTCACTTTACGCCAGTTTATAAACAAGACAGCCTATTAGCCCATCCACCCTCTGTTGTTGGGTCTGAAGAAAATATTATTCTAACAATGTCAATGATTATGATTAGGCCTATTTGGAATGACAAGACCTCTTAAACGGACTATTTATATATAAATATAATACTAGGCTTTATAATAGAAGCTATTCTTTGTAAAAAGTTTACTTCAATAATAGGCAGAAATTACGTAAGATAAAAGACACAATAATAATCGACATAAAAACAATAATAGGCTAATATTAATAAATAGTTTATGCTAATACTATTGTACCAGTGCATTGTTGTTGTTGAATAGAACATTTTTACAATCTCCTTCAGATAATAGGCTACGATGTAAACAAAATGCAGCTATTGTAGCAGTTACACGTTCTACAATTTTTGCAAAATAGGCTTAATAATTTGTTTTAGTTGTTAAGTAGGCCTGAAATATTTTAATTAGCTTACAATTAAACTGAAATTAAAAATGTTAGAACATTAAAGATTCTAGAGTCTATTCAAAATATTTAATTTATAGGTCAGCATTTTTAGTCCTTAAGTGAAATATTAGGCTACTTAGCCTTACTAAAATAAAATAATTCAAATCGTTTATAGTTGAGGTAATGTACACATTAAAAATCAACAATCAAAAAGACTAAAAATCAATTTAATTCAATAAATAGCCTAGCTACTTTTGGAGAAACTGCTCTCAATATTCAGGGACATATACTTGTAACAGTTCCTCTGTTTAACAATCGCCGTATTTTGCGGGAAGAGGCTGTGTGTCCGCGGGCCACACCGATTTCATGATGAGTTGCTCTGGCGGTAAGTGGTCTGAACGGCGCGAGCAGCGCACGTTCATGCCACCTGCCACTTCCATATGCGCTCACCCCCTGAGCTCGAGCTTGGAACAGCGCGACAGGTGCGCGCTCTCAATGACAGGCAGCAGCTCCATCACAGCTCCTCAAGCAGGCATCCACGGAGGCCAATATCCAGATCACAGGCAATTCATTTATCCACATGTATCAGCACAAATCAAATAGGTTGTAGGTCTGAAATGTCAAGGCATATTTAAGTTTTGATAGTTATCAGTAAGGCTATAACTAAGGGTAGCCTAAATGCTAGGTCTGACATTCACAGAATAATAGTTAAACTAGATGCTTATAAATGCTATTCATTATAAGCAGGAAATTAAATGAATGTATGCATTTTATTATTCTCTGTATTGTATCTGTGCCTTTGTGGTGATAGCCTATTTTTCGCACCGTTCGTCATAATTGTTCTTCTGTCTCGTGTTTTCCTCATTGTATTAGGCTACTTCAGAGTATTGTAGCTTGTAAGTTATATTTTGTTATACTCACCAGGCCCCATCAGTATGCCTCCACAGGAAAAATAATCTTTTTTTTTTCTCCACCCTCTTTCCCGCGGTAGCCTGTCTGGTTTGCAGCCTCCCTCCGGGTTTGGCTTTGGTCACCTTAGAAACTCATTGTTTCTGTATGTTCCTTTCCCCTCCCGCAGTTTGGCGGTAGCTTAACCGGTCAAATGTGTCACAACCAGCTTAATCAAAGCCTCGCCCTCTGCGCCTTTTCACTCTCCCCGGCGCTGCTGGTCAATGACACACGGATTTATTTATTGTTGTAGGCTAAAAGTGCTTCAAGCCCCTGGGTGTCGAGCTAAGCTGACGTGAAGGTTTGCGTGAGTGGCTGAGGATTGACAACAAGCGTCCTGTTTGATTTGATTCCTGCAGCAAGAATTTAAATTGTTAACGGTGATCAAGTCTGTGGGCAACCGATGAGGTCAGGGTCAGTCAGGTATGGTGTGTGGTGCATGCCAAATCTGTAGGCCTATAGCCTACATTAAATTCTGCAGGGATATTAGACCCTACATTTTGTTTAGATTAGGATGATACTAGGCCTATCTTATCTGTAAATGACAGGTTGCAAAGCCATCAATCAGTCAATCAACTATCACCATACTTTCTTCTCATATAAGTTAATGTTAACTCTACATTCTTCATATACATATAGGCTATACATATAGGCTACATATACACATATGTACATATATATGTGTATCTATATATATAATAAAAAATAAAATCCCCCTCTCACCCCTTGCGGGGTGGTATGTGTCATGCTCAAGCTCAGGTCCTGGGAGTTTATACATATATATAGTATTGTAACAACACATCAGGATAAATACAGCTCTGGTTTTGGATATGCTTAGGTGATGCAAGCATGTACACATTTCAGACAGCTCTGACATGCAGTATCACCATTTCACTTGTAGAGAAAAAAAACTTTTATTTCAGCACATCAAAAATAATGAAATATGCATATCATTAGTATTGTTGTAAAGATAAACCTTTATATATAGCTATATATAACATCCAACTGCAAATTAGTCTGTGGAGTCTACATTCGTAATCCAAATGTCCTATCAATTGTACATTTATTAACATAAAACTTCCCTCTGTGATGTAGCTTGATGATGATGTGATGATGTTAAAATTCAGTTTCATGCCTGTGTTAATCAGACCTCCATCTCACTTCTTCTTTTCATTTGTGTTGTAAAAGCCAGTGTTCATGAGAGCAGCCTAAGCGCTGCAGCACTGCCTTCATTACTCTAAAGTAAACAGGCGCAGGTTAGTGAAGTTCAAAGAGGTGTCTTATCTGAGATTTGATGTCTTCCTCACTCAAACCCACTTTTTACAACAGTGAGGCTGAAGGAAGATTACATCACAGACACCCAGAGGTCTGAATGCCACACCCTTTAATAATGGTCGTAATTTCTTCTTGTTTTGATTTCTTTGGTTTCTTTTTCTGGGTGGCACGGTGGTGCAGTGGTGGCCGGGTGCTCCAGCTTCCTCCCACCGTCCAAAGACATGCGGACTAGGTTAATTGGTGACCCTAAATTGTCCTTAGGTGTGAGCGTAAGTGGTTGTCTGTCTATGTGTGGCCCTTATTTCCATTTGTTTAAATATCACTGATTGATCAGCGCAACAAAAATCTCTCCAAGTCAGTTTTTTAAACCATAACTTTTATTTCCAAACTTGTAAAATCATTTCAATTTTCCAAGACAAAACATATTGTGAGGTGTAAAAATAAACAGACATAGCTCCATTACATTTTAGGTAATCAGAAACATAATGAAAACATAAGCTCGGGCAGTATCATTTCCTTTGTTAGGCAACTCTCCCTAACTGACTGATTAGCTTACAAGCTACCTGAGGAAGACATAATTTATTCATTCACAGATATCATTATAGATTATTAGCTAAGCATAAACAGCTACTGCCCATCCACACTTCCTTCCAGTCTTGAACAGACATATGGCACTTTCAAACCACTAATAAGAAGCACTAATGGTTTCAGCTGTGGTTGGGAACCCAGCGAAAGCGGTATCCTCCATGCTGTGTCCTCGAGGTGAAGGCTCGTCCATGAGGAAACACCTGAGTCTTTATGGTGCAGTGTTCTCTGATAGAAGTTCTGAAAGATGCGACACTTTCTTCTGGATCTGCTCCATCTGTCGTCATGCTGCTGTCTTTGGAAATAGAAGTCTGTAGGCCTGAGAATACGCCGTACATGCGTATAGTCTCTGATTCCCGTTGTAGTCTTGGTCCAGCAGCAGCGCTGTGCAGGACAGCATTGCAGCAAGTGCTGATGTCCCTCAGCATGTCCTCCACTGAGGCAGAGGACTCTGTTTCATATCCTTCATCCAGTCGCTTACGTTTACAGGGACTCAGTGAAGTTTTATCACCACAAGGCATCACTGTCTCTCCTGCATGTGGGTCCCTGACTGTCATCAGTTTCTGTAAGAAAATGGTACGAGACCAACAGAAATATAGATTAGACATAATTTATGACAATACAGGCATGAGAGGTTGAATTGTATCCAGGATGAAACTGTGTGTACGTGTGCTCGTCTCAGGCGTGTACTCACTTCAAGCACTGAGGCCAGGTGCTTTGCACGGCTGGCCAGCTGCCTGAGGTGAAGGTTCCTCTCCTGAAGGGAGTCAATCTCTTCCTGTTTTCTGTGTAGAGTCTCATGGAGCTGTGGACACACAGAAGAAAATATGTTCAGTCATGCTGTGCTCAAACTCAGGGTTCTTTCCTTTACCTTGGCACGACCGATGTAGGTGCTTTTTTTTTTTTTAAGATACTAAATCAATATTTATTTCAAATGTAGCCCTCCTGCAACCGCCACATGACAAACACAAACAAAGTGACATTTACTATTTTTTGTAATTTTAACCAAAAGAAATGTGTTTAATGGTTTACACAAACTCTCCAGTAGACACCGTTTTAAACCAACTGGGTTACATAATAAAAAAAACACTTCTAGAGTCAGTGAATGACCAAATGTGTCATTTAATTTGCCAAAGGTAAAGATAACTCTAACATATCAAAATATTACTACTGCATAAATGTAAATCCATCCAAAACAAATAACATATAAATATTGCTTTATAGTCATTAAGTCCAGAGCAGACTTTCACACTGTACACTGGTCTGGTTATAAATCTCTTAGTAAGGATTTACCTGATTGTTGACTTCCATGGAATCTTCAAACACTGTGCCTTGGCACTGGGCAGTGCTCTTCCAGAGAGCTGCATCTTGGGCAGATGAGTTGCCTGCTTCTGTGGAGGAGTGAACCAGACTGTCATCTGAAGAGAAGTACCGCTGAGGGGTGAGAGGAGGTATAACACATCCCTGAAATGGTACCAGTTCAGCTGGACACAGACTGCTCTCCAATGTGCCAGGAGAATCTGACAGAGGAGACAACCCAGGGGTTTAGTCAACATGTTTTTGTTTTGAGGATTTCCTCAATGTTTGAGGATTTCCTCAAAGATTATTATTATTATTATTATAGTTGTAGTAACAACATAGCACACAATATCGGTGCTTAGATCTCCACAGGAGAAGATTTGCTTTACTCACCTGCCATGAAATCCAGTGCATAATCTCCAAAGTCTTGGTCATCTGCATCAGACTCAATCACCTGTGGCTGAATACAATTTATCATTAAACTACACGTATATATTAAAAACGCAGTCGACAAGGAAAGCATAACTGCCCCAGACCTGAAAACCCCGCCATGACCTGGCTTTATGGCAGAACATGTTTTGTACTCATTTCAGTGACCTAGGCCTATACCATCGCTTAAATGCTCGTGGACAGAACTTGTGAGGTCCAGCCAATTAGCGGTAGCCTGAGTGTCAGGAGTAGGCTAAACAACAATCTCATTCGTGCAGAATTCCAGCACATCCTGCCAAACATTAACAGCCTGGGGGTGATGAAGATTTGCCACCATTTTATCTCTACCTCTCTCTCTCTGTGTAAGATATAAACAGTTTGAAATGGGTAGCTTTACATTTTTTCCTAACCTGAGAGCCGAGGGAGTCGCTCTCTCGTCTCACCACAGATGCGCAGTCCTCCAAATCATCCCATGCAATTGTTGAAAACGCTGTAACACAAGAAAAGTGCGTCTGCATGACCCAACCATCGAATTGTATTTATTCACATGCTGTCATTATGCTTACACGGATTAAGGTAGTGCATGGTGTTTAACCACACAGTCAGAGATGCGCGTACCTTGTTCAATGATGGAGGGGAGCTCCACGTACACAGTAACTGGACTGCTGCTTCTTGGCACAAACACTTTATCCTGCAGGTAGAACATCTGTTAACACCACAGAGCTATGTTGTGTGCATTATTGCAAAGATAATGATTGCATACCTTTTTGTTTACTGCAGCTTTCCTCCCCTGTTGGCCCATTTGGTTTGGGCAGGTAGCACCGAACACCTTTCTGTCTTTTTGCATCTTCATCAGCTCAGCTCTGGCTGCAGGACTGAAGGATCACGGTTTGATTTAGAGCTGATATAGTCCAAATTCTCCCGGTTTGTGTCTCTCCGTGCCGCGGCCTCATTGTTGTGGCCCAATCAAATGCACTTATTTGGTCTCCAGGGACTGACAGCGTCCTCGGAGATTAAATTGGTTTAGACTAACGGTTTTCTGGTCTTAAGTGTAAAGTAGTACCGGGCATAACGGCGCCATTACAGCAGGTGCTCTCTGCCTCAGACCTGCCCTCCCTCCGCCTACGGCCAAATATTCTCTGCGCTCTGCCAGAGGCGCATGTAGAGAGCCTCGACCAACCATGTCTGTTTCATAAAATCAAACAACTTAGCTTGTGTCTTCACGGTCTTCATCAGGCAGACCAACCCGACACTTCCTGATGATCTAATTTTATGTTATTATGAGTCCTGCTTTTTTTTCATACGGCCATATAATTCAGTGCGTAATTTCTATCCAACTGTGCGTAAAATATCTACCCAAATCAGACCAAGGCCTGTAGCCACATGTAAAGACAAGTTGAAAAGGCAAAAAAATTGTAAATGACAATAAGCTACTGCAGAAGGCTCAGTAAACACTCGTGACAAATGCCTCCATTAGTAAACATACAGAAAGGCAGGTCAGTAGGGGAGATGCTATGTGTAATGGATTATCCCAGCCAGACGATTATCAGAGAAAGCCTCTCAATTGACCAGGAGGTGTTGGGACAATTCAGTTTCATATAGTGATGCAATGGTGTAAAGATGTGAGTAAACTGACCTCCAAGTAAAACAGCCTGAAATCACTTACACCATGAGAAAATAACTGTTTTAATCTGTTATTATCCCTAAAAAGGGCATTTAGATTTATGTCAGTCTGAATGGAAGGGCTCTTATAGGCACAGTGAGCTTTGTAAAAAAAAGTCACTGCAATGCAGAGATGGCTTAGGCTGAGACTAAAAATCCCTGCTATATCCATCCAATCCAGATAAATTTGCCAACATAGACATCAGACTATATGGTGCTTTTTGTGATTTCTTATTCATGCCATCTCTCCATGACATCTGGAGAGGCTCATGTGGGTTTATTTATCAAACATCAGCCAAGTTTGAATCATGGCTTCACATTTTATCATCAATTCAGAGACCAACACCAATCAATTTACTAGTCATTTATTTCATAATTAACCAACAATTAATTACAGCACATTTTTCGAGGTCCTTCATTAAAGAGATTGCAATTCTTACATTGCTCATAGTAAACCTGCAGCAAATTAGTGCATATACAGTAAGTAATGAATGATTTAGAAATAATTAAAATAAACAAAATATATTATTATACTTTACCGACAAACAACAACCTACTTTCAATAAATATAAAACAACTATGCTAAGTTATAAAACATTCAGTGGGTGCAAGTGACTGATTGTCTGAGGTATAGATGAGACACATCTGTATAACCAGACTTTCCTTCTGAAGATCACCTGAAAATGAATTTGGCATTTTGTTGACATCTATAATGGTGGCACACTTATAGTCACATCACTTCCAACGTCTCCTGGTTTAGTGACACCAACAGCTTCAAGTTGTCTTTGCATTCTTTGGCCAGATTGTGGTTGTAGCTCCCCTGACTCAGTGACAGGAAGTGGCTCTTTACTGCAAGAGAGTTGCCCCCAGAAAGCTCAGGGCTCTCAGATAATTGGGCAGAAGCTCGCTGGGTACACAGTTCATTCACAAAACCGCCCCACTGGTCTTCCTGTGCCTGGATGGTTGGATACTCAACAAGCCTTTGTTCAGTTTTCAGTAACTCACTGGCTAGCCTCAGTGCACAGATAGCAGTCAGAGATGGGGGGTATTTGTTGAAAGTGTAGTCTGCTAGACTCAACTCGCACACCTTTTGTGCGAGGTTGCTGCACTGCCTGCGTCTCTTTGCGTCTGGATTCCTCCTTGTGAAACTGTCCCCACCTGTGTTGTTAGACTTAAGGTGGGTAGCCTCAATGCAGTTGGTGTAATAGCCCAGGAAAAACGCCAAGGTGGGTGCAGAGAGGCAGAAGTTGAGACGGAGGAGGATGAGACACTCCAGGTTGCAGAGCTGCTCCTTTGTGAAGGCGTCACAGCAGAATGACAAGAGATGGCTGATGCGTGGTGAGCACACTTCCACCTGGGTGACACAGAGAAAGGGAGTGAGTTATTGGATGAAGTCCAAAGATGCAAACTGTCTGTCTTAAGCATTTACCATTACGCACCTGTTTACTGGCTAGGAGGAGTGCAGTCACACCCAGTAGCTGGAAGCAATCAGCAGCCACCGGTGTGGATGCCAGGAACCTGTCAATAATGTTCACCGCCAGGCAGCAGCACTCAAAGGACAGGCGGAAATGTTTGTGTACAGGGATGAGCCAGCTGAGTAGCTTGCACCGGGCCTCTGCAGTCAACTGTAAGTAAAACAGAACCCGATAGCATGAACTTCCGATTAAGAGTACTATAGTTTTAATAAAATGAAAAAAGGAGGATTTAGTGACAGTTGGCAAGTTGGCATGTATTTTTCCTCTTTAAGTGCATAGAAAAATATTTAATCCTTTCCGTAGCTTGCTACTGCAGGATTTCACAAATATTTCATCGGGGAGGATGACATGGAGGATATCAGGAGACTGTTGAATTTTTTTGAAAACATATACAGAGATATTGAGAGATTGATAGCAAAAACTATATGATGTCTACTGGAATAGCTGGTGCCACAATAAATGATGAAACTATTAACTAATGAATTGGAGAACGTATTATTTTGAAATTATTATTTTGGATTGCAGATGTTGTTCTCTATAGGCGAAATTCTTGGCAGACAGTGAGTAAAATTTTTGGCAGGCGAGTTGCCTAATTTCATTTCATATATTTCATATTTGTGTGTTTTTCATTGAGTAGGCTAATTGGCTACATTTCTCTACCTGACGAACATTATAAAGTGTCTGATACCCTACTTGTGGCTGGCGTGCAAGGCTTTTGCAGGGATGAAACTGCGCCTCTTTCTCCCTCTGGATCTTGTAACCTATGTCCCCGTACTGGAGGTGCCAGGTGGACAGCTGTCCTGCAGGAGGCTCTTCTGAACGGAACGGGGACGCATCTATCCGAGCCGGGGATGAAATCGGGGAGGATCCCAAGTCTTCCTCGAAACCGGAGTCACTCAACTTGGACATGAGTGTCTGCTTTCTGTGCCGGGCAGTCTGCCGCTGCTGTATCGGTGTGAGCGCTTCTGTTGGAGGAGACGCGCCGGTTGTCCGTCTCCGTTTGTGAACAGTCTCTGAGCCACATTCACCGTCCACAAATGACACCATCTCCGCTACCTCTCACTGGAGCCTAGGCCACCAGTCCACTGGCTGAGTATTACTGAGAGGTCTTAGCCAGCAGCAGCAGCCTCCTGGATGTTGGCTGAGGGATGGCGAGGGGAGTTCCGTCTGGTGACGTCAGTTTTCCCGGGGTCTTCCCCGCTCCTGCAGCTCACCTTTCTCCCATCACCAGGGCAACCGAGGCTAAACAATGGATTATCAATTGTATCAATTAATTATCCTAAACCTTGAACCATATGTCATAGTTACCTGTTGCTGTCTGTAGGCCGACAAAGTAGGAGACAAAAATAAATATAGACTAATCTTGCGAAAATATTGCAAAAGTAATGTTTTCATGCTTAAATAGGTTAACAGTTGTAGCCTAATGTGTCACTGGAAAGAATGAAAGAATACATTTCACATGTAAAATGTACGCAACCACATGTGTGAAATTTAAATTGCTTTTTCACTTGTGATATTATATATAAAATTGTTGTTTTCACATGTTCTTACATTTCACATGAAATAAATAAAAACCACATGTGTGTTTTTCACATGTGAAATGGAGCTGTACATTGAAATGGTGTTCCACGTGATGAATTAAAAAGTATTTTGTAAGGGTATTTTCGGGTCGCCTATTTCTTAGGCTATATATTTTTTTCATACGAAAATACATTATTTTGTTATTATTATTGCAAATAAGGTAAAAGTAATGCAAAATAAGGAACGTGTCAAAAGGCCAAACATGAATAATAAAACTGTGGAGGTGGGTGGAGACTGAGGATATGTCATTGTTTGTCCTTAAGGTAGCTCCAATTTATGTTTTATACTGGCGTTGTTTCAAAGTGTTACCTAGATGCAGTCCATAAATACATCCTAATATTTTATACTGTTTGTATAATTTTTAAAAAGACAGGTGGGCGGATCTTGAACGATGACGACTACAAAACAGACAACCCGTACGTCACCTTTCAAACTCCAGCGCAAGACAAGCGATCATGCCAAGTCAGACCTGAACAAGGCTTCAAGTATGTTCACGGTACACGTCCAAAAGGTATTTTAATGACTGTAACATTCTTTATCGGTAATCATGCCATTTTACTGATGGTTGTTTTTACCGCAGCTGAACAGCTTAACAAAAACTCTCAAATAAACACGCTAGCTAGGCAGCTAGCTGTGTTAGGCGTCCTAGCCGATAAGCTAAATAGTAGCAGCTAACAGTAACCTTAGCTAGGCTAGCTGTGGTGGCAAGTTAGCTATCGTTAAAAGGTGTAACTTAACACTATTTTGTTGACTGCGGATTAGCTGCATGCGTGATACTGTTAAACGCCGTTCACTCGAAGAGGAAGAAGTAACGTTAGAGGCAAATCAGACCGTAGTAACGTTAGCTAGTCAGCTAGCTTACGCTAACACCATGCCGCAATAAGCTTCTAAAATCAGTTTGGTTAGTTGGGTAACGTTGCGGGTGGTCGTTGGCTAACCTTACATTTGTGTGTACACAGTAAGTAACGTTACCGTGACTTTATTAATCTAACAGTGACATTATATTAGTGATAACGTTAGGTGTGGTAACGTGGGAAGCACCAGTGTTAACATTAAGTTAGTTCTTTCACGGGGGTCAGATTTATAGCATCGAACTGTCAACGTCCATTGCCAATAAAGTCTGTTAACGGTTAACCGGACTTTGCAGATGTCAGCTATGAGACTGTTGGCTCAAC